AAGAAAGAAAGAAAGAAAGAAAGAAAGAAAGAAAGAAAGAAAGAAAGAAAGAAAGAAAGAGAAGAAAGGAAAGAAAGAGAAAAAAGCAATACAGCATTTGAGGACACATTAGACTGAACTACTTCAACATGCTAGTTTAAGTGTTCGCAAAAATCATCTGATAAACTATTTCCTTTACTTTTTTTGTTTGTCTGTTTGTTTGTTTTGTTTTGTTTTGGAGAGGTTTTTGCTATAGGGTGCGTACGCTTGCCAGAAAGACAGAAAGAGACAGAGAGATAGAAAGCGAGAGAAATCACCCTCCAGGGGGTATGGCCATGCTGCAATCCATTCTCCCCAGTCTCCTTTCGGGATCTTGAGCACGCACGCACACGCGCCCGGTGTGAGTTTAAGCCACCGGGTCTGGGACTCTAACTGCGGTCAGCTACATGCGAGTTCAGTGACATAGCCATTACGCTAACTGCTGTTTTTTTTTTTTTTTAACAACTGATTTAGTCTCTTTTTATTCTTTTGGTAATCTCTTGCAAGTTAACTACCTCCACTGCAGGTGATGAAAAGCCTCCACTTCAAACGTTGGCACAGCTATAAGCATGGTCTTCCCCTTTACTGCAACTCAGAATTAAAACTTAATTTTTTTTGGTGGGGGGGAGGGAGAGATTTTTGCTATAGGATGTGTGCACTCACCAGAAAGACGAGAGAGAGAGAGAAATCACCCCCACCCCCCAGGGGAGATGGCCACACCGCAATCCCTTCTCCTCTATTCTTCTCTCGGGATCTTGGGCACACACGCACATGCACCCAGCATGAGTTTAAGTCACCAGGTCCGGGACTCGAACTACAGTCCACTACCTGGGAGTCCAACAACATAGTCATTAAGCCAACTGCAGGCCCCAAGGGATGGGTGTCCCTGGGTGGGCATGAATTGGTTTTATTTGTTTCGCTATTCTAGTCCCAGAAGTAGTTTTCATTGTACAATTTATTTGAAGAGTCTTATGCTTCGTAATAATGGTTTATAACCAGGCTCTAGCTTCTTCAGAAACACTACATGATGGATTTAGTTTAAATGTATTAAATTAACAGGCATTGTCTCCAATGAGTTTAAATATATTTTATTTTTAGACAACCTACATGACATGTTTTTTTTCCTTAAAGACAATGTCTCCACTCCAAATGAATCACTGTCAAAATAAATAGAGAGCTCAAGATGACATCAGTCCCATCTGTCCTTAGTGCTGGTGTTTTGTGGATGACAAGCAGCAGTCATTTATGATGACAGGTCATCGATCTGAAGTCATCGCCAAATTTGTTAAGTTTTTCCCATTTCTAAACCATCCTTAATGGAAATCATATATGGGTTCACACCATCCTCACAGTAGTCCAGCAGTGCAACCATGCCATCTGGATTCGTGTTTTCACCAATCAAGAACTGGCAGTTTTGGGGACCAGCAGTTGGCGTAATGGCTATGTTGCTGGACTCCCATGTAGTCGACCGCTGTTCGAGTCCTGGACCCAGTGGCTTAAACTCACACCACGTGCCCAAGATCCCGAGAGGAGAATGGAGGAGAAAGGATTGCAGCATGGCCATCCTCCCTGGGGGATGATTTCTCGCTTTCTGTCTTTCTATCTCTGTCTTACTGGTGCGTGGCACAGGACCTATAGCAAAAACCTCTTAAAAAAAAAAAAAAAAACTGGTAGTTTTCAAAATTAGCAAGACTATGCTTGGTTTGTTCACAGCCCCTGTCATAAATGATGTTACTCTTTCTTGGTCTCAGTTCTTCAAGTTTGCCTTTGATTGATTTCATGTCATCTTTGATGTACTTCTTATAGGTTTCTTTTGGGAAGCTGATTTCCTGCAAGTGATGGTTCGTGACAAGGTGAACACCAGTGACTACGGTGGCTACTGCACATTCGGTGCCTTCGCCTCAGGGCCTTCAGCAGAGGCATTCCACCAATGAGCGAGTCATCAGTGCTACCCTCTGTCCTACTGACCATCCTTCCCTCCCCCTCCAGGCACAGCTCCAGGGTTGGAAGATATCTCATTGTGGCTGATGAGATCTGGTAGATAATCATGATGGCTGCTCGAGGGCGACAATGGCAGTGCTAAGGAGGAGTCTAGAGCTCGGAGTGAGCCCTATGTGTGAATGAGCCCTACTGAGCCCTACGTGTGGGTGGGTGAGAGGTAGGAGGGGGCGGAAGCTGATAGGCTATTTCTAAAACATGGGGTGGGTATATAAAGACATTTTATTTTTGCAATTTGTTTTTACTTTCTTTAATTATATGTTTATATACATTCAATCACATTGTTTAGCTTACAAAGTTTCAATATGTGAACATTTCTCCCCAGTCCAGTTGATCAAAATATCTTGTTCATTATTCCTGGGTCATGACTTTATAATTCCTAGTGCTGGAAATTTGTAAGCTAGTTTTACAAAGCCACTTAAAAAAAAAAAAAAAAAAAAAGACACAGCAAATTATCATGTTATGGAGTCACGACTGTGCCAGCATGGCGGGAGAGGAGTCTTCAAAAAGTTAAAGGATAATGCATACTATCGTGTGCATGAATTACAGAATTTCTTTGCACTAACATAAACTCATACTTTAATTCTATTTTCTAGGAAATTGTTGAAGCACCCTTGAAATGGGGAAAAATACCTAAATGTTTGAAAATTGGTCTTTGAGGTCGAGAATAAGATTTTCAACATCAACATCACAGAGGACTCAAAAAGTTCTGCATAGCAAACCCCCAAGGAAGCAAAGATAGCGTGCTCTGGAAAAGTCTGTTTAGAGACTCAGAATGCATCTCCAGTCTAGTAAGACAGACACATTGGAGTGAGAGAGCAGTCCGGAGCTTGAACCAAAGCATTTTGTGGAATGTAAAAGCACTATATTACATATTCTTATTTCAGGTCACATTATAGAACTAAATAAGTTCATCTTGTAGGTATTTACAATATGCCATTTCTATCCTTTAAATATTAAAGGTCAAATTGACCCTCTAAAAATTTTTTTCATCTTCTCATTGGAAAAGCGAAGGCTTGCTTTTCTGGAGTGTCCGCTTGGATATATACGTGGATGTTTAAAGGACCATGCTTCCTAGCACATAAAACAAAATTCCAACCCTGAAGGCACAAAATGCCTTTTCTTCCGCCTCCTTTTTCCAGAGGCTGGAAGACAATCTCCGCAGGCCCTCCAGGTCCGAGAACGGCTGTCTCCATCTCACCTGAATGTGCATGGCGCCCTCTACTGCTTCCTGGAGGTTGGAACAGCCACTGATGAGTGACAGCTGCTCCTCCACACCCAGAGAGCCTTTCAGGGAACCTGCCTGCTCCAGCAACTTCATCTCCTTTCTGGAAAGAAGCAGAGAATGACCACTGTGAGTATCAAAAATAGATGCAGAAACAAACGAAGGCCAGCATCGCTAATCATCAGGGAAAGGCAAATCAAAGCCACAGTGAGATACACCGCACACCCATGTGGATGGCTTTACCGGAAAACAGAAAATGCAAGTGTTGGTGAGGATGTGGAGACTGGAATCAGTCGGTGAGCTCATAAAATAGTGCAGCTGCTATGGGAAACAGGTATGGTAGTGCCCCGCAAAATTAAGGATAGTTACAATGTGATCCGGCAATTCCACTTCCGGAAATATACCCACAGTAACTGAAAATAATCTCACAGAGATTTTTGTATACCAGTATTCATTGCAGCATTAGTCACCATAGCCAAGAAGTGGAAGCACTCTAAGTGCCTATCAACAGAAGAGTGGATAAATTAAATGTGGTGTATATACACATGGAATATTATTTAGCCTGAAAAAGGAAAGAGGAGCTAAACGGTGGTGCAGCAGTGAAGGACAATGTTCTGTGGGGCTGACCCACATGGGAAGGTTCCAGTTCGTGCCCAGAAACCTCCCTGTGTACACTGGGCATTATGTGCTAGTGATCCAGGGCTGGCTGTGGCTGGGGGTGATTCACAGCACTGGGACCACAACAGGGATGCAATCTCTCTCTCATGAAAAAATGAAAAAAAGAGGAAGGGGGACCAGCAGTTAGCGTAATGGCTGTGTCCCTGGACTCCCATGTAGTCGACTGCAGTTTGAGTCCCAGACCTGATGGCTTAAACTCACACCAGCATGTGTGCGTGCGTGCCCAAGATCCCGAGAGGAGAATGGAGGAGAAGGGATTGTGGCATGGCCATCCCCCCTGAGAGGTGATTTCTCGCTTTCTGTCTCTCTATCTCTCTGTCTTTCTGGCGATCGCACACGCCCTATAGCAAAAATCTCTCCAAAAAAAGAAAAAAAGAAGAAGAAAATTCTGACACTGCAACATGGATAACCCCAAGGACCATTATTCTGAATATAGACACAAAGGGACAAATGTTGTACACTTCCGACTACACGAGGTATCTGGAGTAGTCGAGCTCACAAAGGCAGATCTCACGCACAAGCAACCAAATGTTGAATATCTCCAACCACCACCCTTGACGAACAAGCATTTTTTAATGTGTATATAAAAAGAATTCTTGAAGTAGAGACTCATAAAGTTAGTGAAAAATACACAAAACAAAGTAAGTGTTACAGTGAGTTCATTAGAAAGTTTATGCCAGCTGTAAAGGGTCTTCTGTGATGCCTTGGCAGCAGGTTATTTTGCTATAGGGTGTGTGCGCTTGCCAGAAAGACAGAGAGGGACAGAGAGGCAGAAAGTGAAAAATCACCACCCAGGGGGGATGGCCACACTGCAATCCCTTCTCCTCCATTCCTGAGAGCGTGAGTTTAAGTCACCAGGTCCAGGACTTGAACCGCAGTCAACTACATGAGAGTCAAGCGACGTAATCATTATGCCAACTGCCGGTCCCACAGATGGGAAATTTAAGACTTAGATTACAGGGGTCAGGAGGTGGTGTGGAGGTTGAGGCGCTGGACTCCCACATGGCCAACTGCAGTTCAAGTCCCAGATACCTATCGCTTTCTCTCTCATGAAAATGCATGCACTGTAACAAAAATTGGGAAAATAATAATAATAAATAAAATTAAATAAATAATTATTTTAGAAAAACAGACTAGACAACATCAGCACATTTGCACAAAGGGTAAACCTGTGTCCCAAATCCAAGGACATGAAACCACCAGTATACCTGAGACTGAAGCCAGTTTCCTGATTCTTTCACACCACACCCAACAGGAAATACTCCTTCCTTGCTCTTTCTACTAACTCACATCATCTCTTTCGTTAAAAAGAAGAAGAGGAGGAGGAGGAGGAGGAGGAAGAAAAAGAAGAGAAAAAAGGTCCTAACTGGTGGGATTATCTTCTAGGCTGACTGGTATGATTTGTTGGCTTCCAATCTGATGACTCAAGGTACCCCATTTACTAGGGAGAACAGAGAGGAGCTTGCAACCATCTCCACCCCCATGGAACTTGGACTTGGACTACATGTTTTGCATTTTCCGGGAGCATGCCTCCAAACCAGGATTTCAGTACCCACGGGCTTGTTGTGTGTCTTAGTTCACTATTGGGTTACACACAGAAATACCTGAGACTAGGCAATTTATAAAGAACAGAAGTTCATTTGGGTTATGATTCTGAGGACTGAAGTCCAAAGGCATGGGCCAGCAACACACCATGGCTGACAGCAGCAGCGAGGATAGTGTGTGCATGTGTAGGGACAGCATGGTCTGTGTTCCGTGTGCATCTCCGTTTGCCTCAGTTCCTCTTTCTAAACCCACCAGAGCTCAATCATGGGTGCCCTGCCTTAACCCCCCAATTACTAATCTCTTCCCAAAGCCCCATACTTGATCCAGTTTTCACTCTCTTGGTCCCTTTATAATGGCTCAGCAGTGCATTTGGGAAAGATAGATGAATAGCATTACTCTGCTCTCACATGAGCTGAATACCCTGACTTCCACAGACTAGACCCAAGATGGGAAACTGACCCAAGGCAGATGCCTACAGGATGCCCAGTGGCCCACCTCAGAGCTCAGTCCAAGGGGAGCCTATACCATGGCCACAAGGAAGTCTGAAACGGAGACTCACATAGCAGATGCATCAAAGGCCTGAGGAGCAACAAAAATACAGATATAGGGGTGGAAAAGTGGCCAGACAATGGCACAGTGGTTAAAAAGTTCTGCTCTGAAAGGCAATCCTACATGGAAGATTCCCTGAGCACGCCAGTCACACGCCTGCCAGTGATTCAGGGCTGGCTGAAGACTGTGGATGTGCAGCAGTTCGAGGCCCTGTTGGAATGTCCTCTCTCTTTCTCCCTCTTTTCCTCTTTCTACCTCATGGAAGAAATAAATAAATAGATTTAAAAAAAAAAAAAAAGAAAGAAAAGAAAAGAAATACAGGTAGTAGTGGAGCTACCACAATGGTGGACCTTGAGCAGGCTGAACCTTAGAAAAAGGCCTCCTTATGAAACAACCACCCTTAAAACTGCTTTGAGTCACCAGAGCCACTGTCTGTCAGAGGCTCTGGTGTCGCCTGAACAATGTCCCATTTCTGCAACAGAAATGTAACTGCAGAGATGGCTTCCTGAATCCCTTACTCTCTCACAGTTCCACAGTCAATCCTCATCAGGAGAGGAAATCAGAGAACCTTTATCCTATGTGACCTGAATGGGCCTAACACCTACTTTATTCAGAGATCAGACAGGCCTACTGGCCGAAGGAAATTACATCTGAATTAGTCCGTTTGGAACTATATGATTTGTATAAATTAGATTTGCTGCAATGGCTAAGCCTAGGATTAACAACACTGGTAAAAGTCAACCATGTTGCCCATAAATATAACCAGAATAAAAATCCTTGTGTCTCCGAAGAGTTGTTTGTAGCTACCAAACAAAAACACATTTCAGTTCAATTAAAAGTATTTGGTGTTACAGAGAAATAGGTGAGAGGCTTAATATGGTACCTCTTGGTTTCCTAGAATTATTTTCTTTTCATAATTTAAGATATTTTAAAATTTAGAAGAATAATAAACATCTCCATATTTCTGTCACTCAGAACTAACCACCACCAATCCTGCCATATTTGTTTCTTGGTTGTTTGGGTTTTGTTGTCGTTTTAAGGGGTGTGTGTGTGTGTGTGTGTGTGCTTACTTCTTCCAAGAGGGAGAAAGAAAGACAGAAGGACAGGTATCCCAACAGGATCTTGACGCTGCGAGCCACTCAGCCCGCCCCAGATCATGAGCACGAATTCCCTGTGTACTCAGGGAGGTCTCCAGACATGAACCTTCTCATGTGGCCCCGTCTCGCAGAGTCGCAGAGTTCCACTGCACCACTGTCCAGCCCTATCATGTCATTTTTTTAGGTAAATAAAACATGAAAGACACCACTCTCAACCTCACACAACGACCTTTCCACCAAACTCACAGTCTTTAAAATTTATTTATTTATTTAATGAGCTAACAGACAGCCTTCCAGACAACCAGGATCACAGCATGCCCGGTGTGTTCAAGTTGATCCGAGATGCAACCCTAGGTCTCTCGTGTGGCCCCACTATCACAAGCAGCACCCCATCTCCTGCACCACCGAGGCTGGGCCACAGAGTGTCCTTAATGCCTGAGCCTACTAATATAATGAGTAACCATTTCATCCTTTAGAGAATTGTGTCTGAGAGCCTGATGTGCTCAAAAGCACCTGTTTCAAGATTCAGCAGTCAAGTGGCATGTCATCAAGTCTTCTCATTAATCCAAAGCAAAGTTTCAGCCATTCTTTCAAAATCACGGAGTCAGACTCAATAAATTAATGGGAGTACAAGAGGGATCATCCCTAAGGAACTGGGAAGGAAAAGGTCTTGAGACAGAAAGTAGTAACAGGGGGACCAGCAGTTAGCGTAATGGCTATGTTGCTGGACTCCCATGTAGTTGACCATGGTTCGAGGCCTGGACCCGGTGGCTTAAACTCACACCAGGCACGTGTGCGTGCGTGCCCAAGATCCTAAGAGGAGAACAGAGAAGAAGAGATTGCGGTGTGGCCATGCCCCTGGAGGGTGATTTCTCTCTTTCTATCTCTCTGTCTCTCTCTTTCTGGAGAGCACACATGCCCTATAGCAAAAATCTCTAAAAAAAAGAAAGAAAGAAAGAAAGTAGTAACAGGACAAGCCATAACCACTGGTCTCCTGCAGAGGCAGGATCAAGAATCTATATAAGCCTTTCAGCCTAGGGCCCTGCCTCCCCTGGGCAGGAAGAGGTAAAACGAGACAAACTGGGGCCTGACATGGCCACACATTAGCCTCCTGGATAGCTGAAACTCCAAGCTCCCACTGTGTTGTATCCCTAGGGAAAACCCAATGAAAGGTTTTGAGAAGCTTTCATATTCAGAGAGATCCGTCCTATTCTCAAGTTCAACAAATCTACAT